ACTTTTTTCGCTTCCTTGTATTTTTTATTTAAATAAAGCTCATAGGCTACTCGTGGAGTTAACTCCTATACCACTAAAATTCATATCGGCAGCATTATACTCTTAACAACTCACTATTATTCATATTTTTAACTTGAGTTTGTTGTTTCCGTATGCAACCGTGTATTTTATACCTACCTGCCCATCACTGTTAAAAAGTTATCTTGAACTATCTTACAAATATATCTGCACACTACTAAGGAGCTCTCATATATTTAAAGTCCCTCTTCGAGAACTCTAGTGCATACCTCTAGTCTTATTCTAATCTACCTCTATTCCAAATTATATCTTTGTGTCGTCCGTTGTTCCTCACCAGGTCATTTTCGAGCAATGAGCCCGCTATTTGAGTTTAAGTACGGTACATATCTATCAATTTGATCCCACGATTGCATATGCTTGATAGTTCGGCTAAACCCTAATAATATTACAGTCTCGTCAAAAATAGTATTAAAATCTGGCTATAAAATATAGTTTTTAGTTTATAAGCAGTTTTTCGAGACTCCCATTTATATAGTATTTTTTTATATATGACGAACAAATTTTTACCAAATTCTCTTGTAAATTTGCTCATCTTCATTCCTATTTGATTTCTTCTCTTCCTTCTCCATTTTATTTTCAGACTCTTGCGACTTCCATTGGGTACCCGTCTGCGATACGCGGGCCGCTCTTAAGCCAGCTAACCGGCGTTCGGACACTTATTTTCTCGTGGGTGTGATTGAGAGTGTGGCTGCTACTTCCTCACAATCTGCAGGTGGAGATGAAGCTGAAGTCGCGAGTGGTGTCACTTCAGGAGGTGCAGAAGCTGGCCTCCTTCAAGCTATCTATTGCAAGGGTTCTCGATGGCCACGTGTGCTTCCTCGACCACTTGTCTCAAGCTTGCAGATGCGTCTACCGCTTTGTCATCTCGACCGAGACCAGGCTGCTCTAGAAGTAAGTTACCTTACATGCAAAAAATAAGTAACTTTTGTCTTTGATTACACAACTTGTATCTAGCTATCTCGTTTTTACTATTTCATCTGGCTGAAATGCTTTTCCAAAAATTGGTCACAATTCCAATATATTCTTTTATTATGGTGCCTTACTATACTGAGCATGGAAGTAATCCGCCCGAAGAATTTCCAACTATCTCACTTATTGTCGAATATACTCTTGGATTAGTTCGTTAGTTGTTCATTTAGGAGATCAAGCACTTCACTTATACCTATCTTTCGCTTACAAGCAGGTTTTCAAGATGTATTCACCCTATTTCGTTGAGCTGATGACAGACTGATAGTTGAATTTTCCCACCGTGGACTAAGTAGACCTTACGTTTGCATTAAATTTCACATTGCCTTGCTTCTCAAAAGGTATTCTTATTCAGGTAGGATTGGACTGCAGTTTCGACATCGCCCAGATCATATCAAAACCCCTAGAGGACTCGAACCCGGATTAATGTTATGCGGCATATAATTTGACACATTTATTACTAAGCTACACTGCTACGAGTATCATTTTGTTACGGGGCAGATATGAAGTTCAAGGAAAGCTAGACATTTTTCTATTTCATATTGTGGGGAGATTGTCGATGAAGTAAAGTTGTATTTGCTTGAGCACTCTACTAGAATACTTATTTTGCGTTAATAAGTAGGCTTCGGAGACGCGTATATATGATTCACTGGTATTATCGAAAATCCAGTTATAAAGGAAAAATAATTAATCTAGTCGATTGCTTTAGCAAATACAACTTTGCTTTATCGACAATCAATCACAGAATGTAAAGTTGGAAAATGCCAGGCCTTCCATGAACTTCACATCTGTTCTATTATCAACGAGCATTCGTGGCAGTGTGGCGTAGTGGTTAGTGTGTCGAGATTATTCACTGTACTTTCATGGTTTGGGTCCCACTAGGGGTGCTAATGAGACCTAGCCGAGGTCGAAAGTGCGATCCACTATTAATGAAAATACCTTTTGATAAGGCAAAGCTCTATGAAATTCAATCGAACTGTAAGGTCTACTCATATTGTGGGAAAATCCAACTAGCAGTCTCCTTATCACCTTAAACGAAATAGGGCGAAATCATCTCATCTACTGCCCTTCTTCATTACCAGTTCGCTTCTGGTTTTTTTACAAACTCATCATTCTCTATTCTATAAATATGTTATGGTTTCTTCTGTTCAAATGAGAGTCTTGTAAGAAGATATATCGGTTTATTTTTGACAAGTCTGACTAATGTTTACTCGCTACGTCCCTTAGTTTGCACGTTGCCTTTGTTGTTTTCGATTAGAAACTCAGTATCCTATAACTGTTTTAAGACTATTTATAGTAATCGCTTTCAGGCGAGCTTAGAGGGTTTGTCTCGAGGCGATTTTAAGATTTTGTTCCAGGTGCTCAGCCTTACAGTGAAGACACGCTTATTTGAACCAAATATGTTTTCTCAGTAGAGTATGCAGAAAATCTAATTTTTATTTCTTGGTTTTAAAATACTGTATATTACGTGTCAGCCTCTTTTTGTAGTGTGGCCGTCATTTTAATCTTCTGACCTCATTTGAATTTGATTCTTTATCTCTCCTTTTATTTGGATCGTTAACGTATTTTATCCCAGAACATAACTATCACTCAGTAACCAGTATCGCTGTTATGGGTAGTGTATTTAAAGTAACTTATCAAAGTATTATTTTATTGGTGAAATTTCTTGATTGCCTATGTGCACACTTAATTATTGGCAAAATTTCGTAGTTTAAGTTTGGTTTAGTAGCTCCTCTTTATCCTCTTTTTTCTCTACTATTTCCATGAACTTTTAAATCGTCCAATTAGTCTGTGTCTGTTGCAAGATATCCCTTAACTCGCATTATTCATAATATTCATTCAGGCTGATTTCCTTGCTGTATTCTTATACTGATAGTCTCCACCTATTCTTCTTTATAGATGTATTCCCTCCATTTGTCCGTTATATCATTTCCTCTCAAGCTAATAATCTCTTTAAATAATCTAATGGAGTTTTATCCTCCCCTGATTCTGCCTCAGCTCTCTTTTTCATTACTTGTTCACATTTCCTTGAATCGTTTTTTACCGATTTTTATATTTGCTCGATAATTTTTAT